CATGGTAGAAAATTGGATATAACTGAATATGGTTCAGAATTTATGAGCAAGATTTTTCAATATTATAGTTTTGATGCATGATAATGTTTCAACTATCTTTACTAGAACTTAATGTCTTATAAAAAATATATAATTACTTGTAAGAACATTTTTTTAAAAAACAATTATGTATATAGATTTATAAATTATATTATAATTATTGTAAAAAGTAAAACATATCATTAATAATAAAAATACAACGAAAGAACTTTAAATATTTACAATGCAATACCGAATTTTTACAAAAAGAAATTTTATCAAGTGTTTACGTTCAATTACTATATCAATCTTTAATAAAATTATTCTTAGTCTAATCTGGCTGGCTTCTCTCCACATCAAATTTGTGTTGACTACCGTTTTTTTTCATACTGTAAACAAATTTTAACAGTTAGTTGGTTGATTGGATTTATAGTGAAACAAATACAATTATCATAAACATTCAAGAAAGTTAGTGTTCTTGCAAAATGTATCTGCCAATGCTTTCCGACATCTGATCCAATTCAATGCACTCAATATTCAAAGAAGTTAGCATAAAATTTTTCAAAGTGCATCCACTAATGCTTTTCCTCCTTCTGATACAAGGAATCAGCGTGATATTTTTGCAAAGTACATCTTTTATTGCTTTTTTTTCTTCTGATCTAAGATTGTCAAAAAGATTTAAAAAAAGTCAACGTAGTGTTCTTACAAAGTGCACCCATTATTATTTTGCTAATAGTATAGTTGAGTGTTAAGCATTTAAGTATTTTACTTGCATTCGCAAGTTTATATTTATCCTTTCTAAAATAAAAATACCATCATGTTCATCTTCGTCATTAAGCTAAATGTTAACTTCGTAGGCCAAATAAGAACCAATAGATATAGTATAACTTTCATAATCAAATAATAGTCTGGATAATTTGGACGGTCAATTTTAAATGGAATCGATAGAACTTGTTCTTTAGCATTTAATGTTAAAAGATATGCTCTTATAAGTCGTCTATTACTAGAAATGGTTTATAGCTTTACTCTCCTCCATTGACGGTTTACAAGAAGGCATAAAAAGAGGCTTTTATAATAAATTCAAGGCATAAATTCGGTAACATTATCATTTATGATTATGAACGTTAAAAAAATCGGAGGTTGCCTCCGGTATATAACAAATGTAAAATGTTGTAATCAGTTCATTTTGTCTTTATATTCATGATCAATTAAAAAAAATATATATTCATGTAAATCTTTGATAAGCTTAAAAAATAATAAAGCTAGTAAGCAAGTTGTTTGTGACAATATGCACTCTTGCATTTTAACATTAGACATAAAAATGTTGATGACGCTCCTTGTCACTCATCGTATTCAGTAATCTAAACATTAAATTCTAAATGTTGGTAAAATAATTTAAGATTCTATAAATATTATGTAATAGTAGATATCATTAAACTGAGATACTATTTTTTATTATTTACTCTAATAGTTAATGTAAGATGTATTAAAAAGTTTGCAACAATAATTATTGGTATATGGTCTGCAGTCAATAAAAATCAAGCAAATTAACATTTTTAAAAAAATTAATTCCTTAAATTTTATAGTTTATATCTTAATGAATTTAGAAACTATTTTAATAATTTAATAGTCAAAAGAAAAGTTTATTATTCCAACAGTTAATTCATTAAAAACTTTGAAATTCATCAATATATAGCTATTAAACTTAAGGATCATTTTTCTCAAAAAAAAAATGTTGATTGGTTTGATTCTATTAACAGCAGCCCATATGTATCAAAATTATAGTATGTCAACAATGTTAAAATTAACGATGCCTGTCGAAACTATTTCGCAATGATGAAATTGCTTTATCGGTATTTTCTCCCGTAGAACTTTGAAACTCTTAATGAAATTAATTTAATTAATAAATATTCAAAGTTTCATATTTCATTGTAAAGATTCTCGGTGTTTCTTTATCAGACCTATTGGACATCCTGGTGATTAATATAAAATTTCAAATAGATATAAATGATTATTATTATAAATAAAGTTTCATTCTCTCCATGCTAATTAGTATCCCAAGGCAGATTTAAATACTTATTTTTTTGGTAGTTTTCATTTTTCTTCGCTTTGCACAAGTGTCAGCTGATCTAGAATATAATAATCGCATTTTACGTTCTCCGATTGGTCAACTACTCGTATTGAGTTTTTTTTAATGACCTTTATTCAATTTTTTAACCAAAGAGAAATATACAAACATGAAAAATGTAATCATTATGGACGTTACACTATTAAATATGTAGCACAAGCTTGACTGAGCGAAATATCCAAGAAATTCCAACCTGCAAAATGTTTGTTGCTATTGGCTGATCATCTTATTATTCTTGCTCGGATCATTTATTTCGAAGAAGCACTATGGGAGAGCGCCACGCTGTGGCTCTACTAAATTAATGGGCACCAATACATTTATCATAAAACACTAATTGCTAAACAGATGTCATGAAATGATCACGTGACGAAGAACAAAAGAGAATCGGATGATGCACGATATGTAATAGAGAGATGGCCCACGCCAAGGTGTGGCGCATCGATGAAATAATTTCACTCTAAGTCTATTTACAACTAAACATGTAATGAGCGTCAGGGAGCAAGTTGCCAAGCGAAGCCACCATAAGTCAGCAAGCATGTCACCAAGCATCTCGCTTCTCTCTCTATCTTTTTTTTTTTTTTCCTTGCTCTTTCCTTTCTTTCTTCACTCTCCTTCTTTCTTCCATTCCTTCATTTTTCCCCTTTTTTCTTTCTTTCGTTTCTTCCCTCCTTTTTTTCTTGGGGGGGGGGGGTGGCCAGGGTGGGATCACAGCACAATAGAGCCAGAACCAAGTCGGGCAGCGAAGGAAAAAGGCACTATCAGTCATCGTTCCACAATCCTAACCTTAAATACTGTTCCATTTCCTATTTCACACTTTCAAGCTGGTCAGGGGTGATCCTCGCAATAATAACCTTTGCATGACTATTGTCATGCGTCAGGTCAATCCTGATTTCTGTATCACAGATTTTCATATTACTATATCTATTTTTACTTCATCCGTAAAAGGTTGTTAATTAGAATTTACCATTGTCATTTTCGTATTACGTATTCAAAGCACAAACAAATTGAAATTTGGTGTAGTACATAAGTACGCACAAATTCTACTCTGGAATTAACTACCATTTGAAGTTTGCACACATCACTGTTTATCTTTCAAATTGAGAAATTCAATGAAAATTGAAATTTTTTCCTTATGCAACATAAAAATGTATCTTGTGCTTGGTTCTGAATTCATGTTTGAGAATTAAGCAAAATAATTTTTATATACTGGGATGAAGCTTGAGCCAATACTATCAAACATTCCATAAACCGCATTAAAGTAAATCCATTTTTGACAATGAAACCATAGTCAGATACGAATTTCACCATTAACGTAATCTACTTAGCAATTTTTACTAGCTTACAATTCAGTCCATTATAATTTTTCTGGAATTTTAATTATTCCTGAGAACTTATGTACGTACATACAAGCATTGTGGTACGTAAAACAAATAAAAGCCAGTTCTCAATGACAATCATGACTCATATGTTTTTACCATTGTCGCCACTATTAGTGGCATATTGTTACACGGTTTTTTTTTTGTGACATGAGTTAATTTTATGGTAAGGTCAAACCACCTAATAATAGGCTGGCTTTCATAATTGTAGCCACAAATAAATAACATAACGTCAAATTTTGTATCCATTGCCACTTTGGGAAATTAATATAATGGTTTTTATTTTTCTATCTTTAAGCACGACAAAAATTATATAAAGGCGTGGAATCCTTCTCGTTAATATTCAATTCAACACTAACATTTAACAAAGTATTAAAAGAGCTTATTTAAACAAATTTGATAACTATAAACTTTCAATAAATTAAAGTTTTTTCTCAATTCGTAATTTCTACTGATCAACAAAAATGTCTGGTCTTAAGTTATCTCAATTATTCGTTTATCCTATTGCCGGTGTACAAGTTGTCCCGGTAAAAAAAAATGCATCTGTTCCCTATATTCCTCCAGAAATTATTCGCATTATTCTGGATTTATTGAGGGGTGATAAAAAAACTCTCGCTGCTTGTGCTTTGGTTAATCATACTTTTAACCTTTATGCTACTCCAATCTTATATCATACTGTTGCATTTACTTTTCCTCACACATTTACACTTTTCGTTAATGCCACGAATGACATTAAAAGGCGTTGTTCTAAAATGGTTCGACACTTAGATCTCTCTAGTTTCTCTACCTGTGGCTTACAAAAAAGTTCTATCGAAACCCAAAATATCGTCACTCCTGAACTTTTAATTCATATTCTGAGATCTTTTCCTGAATTGAAAGCTTTTTCTGTATCAGAATCTTTGGAATCTGTAAT